AGCCGCGGGGCGGCGGCGGCTTCCGCGGCGAACCCGGGCCCTCGCCTTCGCCGCCGCCGCCGACGACGACGGTCGCGCCCGCGGTGGCGTCCACGCTTCAGTCGCAGCTCACGCCGTCGACCGCGGAGTTTGCCGCGCTCGAGGCGCAGATCGAGCTCGAGGCTGCCGCGGAGGCCGCCGCCGCCGCCGCCGCCGCCGCCGCGCAAAAGGCGGCGGTCGAGAAGGCGTCGCTCGAGGAGGCGACCGCGATGCTGACGCGCGCGGAGAGCGTCCGAAGCAGCGTGGGGTTCGGCAGCCCGCTCCGCGGGTCCCCGAGAAAGCCGCCGAGGAGCCCGCACGGCGGCAGCGCGTCGAAGGCGTCGATGATCGCGCGCGTCGCGGCGACGGCGGCGGCGGTGGTGACGTCGCCGTCGCCGACGCCGCCGGCGCCGGCGCCGAGCCCGCGGACCGTGCCGCTGCCGCCGACGGTCGCGAAGGACGACGCCGCCCCCGGGCCGGTCCCGACGCCGAGTCCGCGAGCGCCGAACGCGGCGCCGTCGCCCGTCAGCCGCGTCTCCCCCGGCGCCGCCGCGCGAGCGGACGCGGAGACGAAGGGGCACTCTCCGACGAACGCCGTCGCCGCCGCCGTCGCCGCGGCGTCGCCGGCGTCCGTCGACGACTCCAGACGACGACGACGGAAGGGCGACACGCCGTCGCCGGTGGCGATGACGCGACGACTCTCGGACGCGGTCGCGTCGGTGGACGCGACGGTGATGCCGTCGCCGTCGCCCGCGCGCGCGACGACGGCGGCGGCGGCTGTGGTGACGTCGCCGACGCCGCCGGCGCCGGCGCCGAGCCCGTGGACCGTGCCGTTGCCGCCGACGCCCGCGGGCGCGACACCGTTCGCGGCGGCGGCGGCGGCGGCGGCGGCGACGCCCGCGGTCACGGCCGTCGCCCCCAACGTCGCGGCTCTCATCGCGAACGACGACGCCTCATTCTCCACGCCGGCGGGCGACGCCGGCGAAGCGAAGAAGACTTCCCCGTTGTCCGTGTTCGCGAGAATGATGGCCAAGGTGATCAACGACGCGGACGCCGAGGTGCGAGCGACGACGCCCGCGGCGAAGGCGGCGAAGGCGGCGACGACGACGCCGAGGCGGGTGCCGCTGCCGATGACGCCCCAGCAGGAGGCGGCGGTCGCGTGGGATGTCGTCGCGAAGGCGGCAACGCCGCAAAAAGGCGCCGGCGGCGGGAGCGCGGCCGGCGCGGGCGCGGCCGCCGCCGCCGCCGCCGATTTGAAAACGAAACCCGTCCCGGCGGGGACGCCCGCCAAGGCGGCGAGGGTGATGACGTCGCCGGAGTACACGATCTCCCCGACGCACGTGCACTACGCGTCCGACGACGCCGCGGCCGCGGCGACGGCGGTCGTCGTCGAGGCGACGACGACGACGGTTGACGTTTCGTCTTCCTCGCGGCGCGCGCCGACGGAGACGGATTCCCCCCTCGACGGGTCCGTCACCGGGGACACGCCGCTCGGGGTCGTCACGCGGTCGGGGCCGAAGCGCGCGACGACGGCGAGCGGAGGGACGGGCGGCTCGAGCGCGAGGAGACGGCCGCGCGCGACGCCGCCGCGGACGCCGACGGATTGGGCGGCGTCGAGGGCGACGACGAAGGCGACGGCGCGGAGAGAGAGCACGGGGCGCGTGGCGGCGGCGGTGAGCGCCGCGCTCGCGGCGACGCCGAGAACGCCCGCGGATTCCGCGTCGAAGCCGGCGCCGCGACGCAGCGCGCGGCTGAGCGGTTCGGGGAAGAAGTGAAGTGAAGGGAAGGGAATCGAAGCGACGACGACGGGACGCGGTCGACGTCCACGTCGACGCCTCGCGGGGGGGGGGGAGAGGGAAAAAACGACGACGACCTTGCGGGGGATGACATGTAACTAGTAGGTAACACACGGGCAGACTAGGGATGCGACGACGCGTACAACACGACGTGCGAACTAAACGAAAACAACAACACCACGACGACGACGGATCGGATCACTAACACTTCACACCTCTTCCGTCACGAGCACCGCGGGCTCGTCGTCGTCGCCCGCGCCCTCCCCGCCGCCGCCGAGGAACTTCCGCCGCGTCGTCGCCAACGCCTCTCTCGCCTTCTCCCTCACGTCCCTCGCGCGCGGCCGCGCTCGCCAATCCTTCTCCAAACAACACTCCGCGACCGCCATCACCTCCCGCGGGTACGCCTTCCGCGCCGCCTCCGACCACGCGTACTTCCCGGACATCACCGCGAGCGCGAGCGACCCGCCGGCTGCGTCCGTCGCGTATTCAAACGGCGTCTTCCCGGCGGCGGTGGCCGCGAAGAGGAGGCACCCGAGCGACCAGACGTCGACGCGCTCGTCGATGACGCACTCCGACGGCGTGTCCCACAACTCCGGCGCGCGGTACGACGCCGTGCACTCGCCCGCGGCTTTCTCTTGGATGAGTAACGCTTGCGAACGGTCCGTTACCGTCACCTTCGCCGGCTTGGCGCTGCCAAAATCCATCAACACCGCCTTGAAGATGATGTCGGGGTGGAGTTGAAAGGCGTCAGAAGCGGAGTTGAAAGGCGTCGAGGTGTGTCGGGATTGCAAGCGAGGTGTGGGCGGAGAGAGATGACGCGCAAAGTCCTTAAGGATCGGCGTTCACCACGCCGACGCGGTCGTATGGGGACCAGTGTAAGGAATACGCGCCTTGAGCCCGCCCTCCGTCTCCGGGCTCGACTCCAACAACACGTTATCCAGCTTCACGTCCCTGTGCGCGATCGGTCCGAGAGGCGGGGACAGCGTGTGCATACACTCCAGCGCGTCGCACAGCTGCGCCGCGATCGACATCAGCTGCGTCGACGTGAACGCGTCCGCTTCCGGCCGCGTCGTCGCGCGATCGAACATCGTCCCGTCTAAGGGCCGTTCCGTACGAGCGAACGTCGGGGTGGAGTTGAAAGGCGTCAGACTTGGGAGTTGAAAGGCGTCTAGGGCGGGGATTGAACGCAAGGGACCCTGGGCGGAGATAGACGACGGCAAAAGTCCTTAAGGATCGGCGTTCACCACGCCGACGCGGTCGTATGGGGACCAGTGTGAAGGAGAACGCGCCTAAATACGCCGGGAACACGAGGCTCGCGCGCTTCCGAACGAACACCCTCGCGCCCGGCGGCGGGCTTCGATGCGGCTCGATCTCCGCGTAGAGCAGCGGCAGGATGTTCGGGTGGTCCAGCGCGCGCATGACGTCGATCTCGTTCTGTATCGCGCCCTGATGCTCCTCCTCGTGGATCAGGATGCGCTTCAGCGCGTAGTCTTCGGACGCGAGGTCGGGGATTTCGCGCGCGAGGTGGACGTACGAGAAGCCGCCCTCGCCGAGCTTCTTGACGATCGCGAACGTCTTGTCCTCCACGACGACCTCCTCGGTCAGCGGCGGGAGCGTCAGGCCGACCTGTTTGCCCGCGTCCACGACCGCGCGCCAGATGCCCTGCGACGCGAGCGAGGGGATGGAAAGAGCGGGAGATGATGGTGAGATCCCGCGCGAGAGACGCTGGAGGAGGGTGCCGGCTTTTCGAACCGGCGCGGGGGCGCGCTGAAGAGACGGACTGGACGGGGGGGAGCGCGCGAGAGGAGGAGGCGCGCACGTCGACGTTGCATCCGTACTGCTCGAGCATCCGCGCGAAGTAGGCCGACATCGCGTCGGGTGCGGCGGGCGGTGGCCCTTCCGCGCGCGGCTCGTTCTGAGAGCTGTTGCCTCGGTTTCGCTTGCCCGTGCACTGACACTCGCTGGAAGGGACCCGAAGTCGAAACCGCGAGCGACCGGAGAGGACGCGGGCACTCGCGCCGCCGCGCGCCGGCGCGTCGTCCATCGTCCGCGACATGTCGTCGTCGCGGACGCACTACGAAGTCCTGGGCGTCGACGCGCGCGACGCGTCGACGGAGGACATCAAGCGCGCGTACAAAGCGGCGGTGCGTCCCGCCCCGGCGTCTCTCTCGTCGCGCGTCCGTCGATCGACGGGGAATCGACGGGGAATCTCTGAGCTCCGACTCATCATCGCGTCGAACGATCCCTCTCGCCCTTCCCGCGCAGGCGCTCGCGTCGCACCCCGACAAGCGCGCGTCGCGCGTAGACGGCGCAGCGGGCGACAACTCCGAGTTCCTCAAGGTTCAGGCCGCGTGGGAGATCCTCAAGGAGAGCGCCTCGCGCGCGGCGTACGACGCGCGGCTCCTGGAGACGGCGCGCAGAGACGCGGACGTCGTCGTCTCCGACGAGTTCGACATCGACGACATGGACGCCGAGGGGAGCTCCCCGACGAAATTCACGCGTCGGTGCCGGTGCGGGGACGCGTACGAGGTGTGGAGCGACGAGCTGTTGGCGTCCTTCGACGCGATCGACGTCCCGTGCGCGAGCTGTTCGCTGCACGTGCGCGTGCGGTTGACGGGCGGCGCCGCCGCGGCGAAGTTCGACGCGTTCGCGATGGCGACGGCGGCGGCGACGGCGGCGGCGGCGGCGGCGGCGGGGACGAAGGACGACGCCGCGTCGTAGCGATGGACGCGCGCGGTACTCGATAGACAAGTTTAGCATCGTATGATATCTTCTATTAGGCGAAGGTACCTTCGAAGGCACCGCGGCGGCGTGATGTGACGCGTGAATTCAACGATGAGATCAATCGCAGTCAGTCGTCTCTCATCGCGTCCTACTAAAGTTTTCGCACGTGATACGCGTCCTTCACCGGCCCTTTCGCGGCCAACGCCGCGGCTTTCTGCGCCTTCCGCTCCGCACTCGTCAGCTTCGCGCCCTTAGCCTCCGTCAGCGCGAAATCCTCCCCGTCCTCCCCCATCTTCTTCATCGCTCGCTTCTCCGCGACGGATAACTTGACCTGCTTCCCTTCGATGGGCTTCGACACGACGACGCCGTCGCCGACGTTCCACGTCTCCGTGCACAGCTCGTTCACGAACGCCTTGTTGTGCGAGATGGTCAGCACGCCGCCTTTGAAGTCGCTCAGGGCTTTCGTCAGCGCCGCGAGCGTGTCGTTGTCGAGGTAGTTTGTGGGCTCGTCCAGGGCGATGATGTGGGGGTTGATCCACATCGCGGCGGCGAGGACGAGGCGGCTCTTTTGCCCGCCGGACATGCGCTTGATCTTCCCCATCGCGAGGTCCTCGTCGATGCCAAACTCCGCGAGGTGCAGCCTGACTTCTTCCTTCGTCAGCGGCCGCAGGTCCATCCCGCTCTGCATCGCTTTCAGTTTCTCGTCAAAGTTGCGCACCATCTTCATGACGTATTCATCTTTTTTCGACAGCGCGGTGATGGGCTCCCAGTCCGTGTCGTCTTCTTTCCGCCCGGCTCTGCGGCACTCGTAGAACAGCGTCTTCCCGCGCTCTTGTCGACCGATGATTTCGCAGATGTTCCCGCGCTCCATGCACCGCTTCTGCTCCTCCTTGGACAAGTTATGCGACGACCGCTTCGCGATCTCTTTATCCCGACCGAGGTAGAAACGGTTCTGTAAATACTCCAGCGGCGTGTTCTCGACGCTCTCCTCCAAGTGATGCATCGAGTGCTGCGCGATGTACGCCAGACGCAAGTTATGATGCTGCCACACCTCCCCGACGCCCTCGTCCGGGCTGAGCTCGCCGATGAGAAGCTTCATCAGCGTCGTCTTCCCGGCGCCGTTGAGGCCGACCAAAGCGGCGCGCGAGTTTTGCGTGATTTTCACGTTCGCCGCGGAGAGAATCTGCTTCGTCGTCCCCGGGTACGTGAACGACACGTTCTTCATGTACATGATGACCTTCATCCTGGACTTGACGCCCTCTAAGGACCCAGGGTCGGGGAACCGGATCGGTTTGATGTGCGAGGGCTGCTGACCGTCGGCCCCGATCGAGTTGATCGCGAACTGCGGCGAAGGCGCCCTCTCGACGACGACGTCTCCTTCGTCCTCCGCGGTGGGCGAGAGCCCCCCGCCGGGAGCGGGCGACGGCGAGCGGTCGTCCCCGACGCTCATCGCGGCGAGGGACGCGCCGACGCTGGTCACCTTTCTGATGGCGTTGTCTGGGCTCGGCAGCGCGGCGACGATCTCCGGCTTCAGCGACTGGAAATCGCGGAACCCCATGGGGTAGTAGGTCAAGTTTTTGTCGTGGAGGTGAATGACGTCGGTGAGAACGTCCGCGAGGAAGTCGTAGTCGTGCGACACGAGGCAGATGGTCGTGTTCGTCAGCGACTTGAGGTAATTCGTCAGCCACGCGATCGCGCCCGTGTCGAGGTGGTTCGTGGGCTCGTCGAGCAGCAACACCTGCGCGTCCCAGAGCATCGCGCGCGCGATGGCGAGCTTCATCCTCCACCCTCCGCTCAGCGACTGAGGGCCGTTCCATACAAATTCATTCACTGGTCAGTTGAAAGGGGACGCGATCAAATGTTGAAACCGGGCGATGGGTGAAAAACTTTTGTATAGAACGCACCTGAATCGTCGCCGCCATCTTCGCGTCGTCGAAGCCAACCTCCTTCAGGGTGTTGACGACCGTCTCGCGCGTCACGCCCTCGGGCACGCTGCCGGCCATGAAGTCCACGATGTTCTCCTCCTTCTCGCTCAAGATTTCGTGCTGGATGTAGTACACGGAGACGTCCGCGGGGAACCCGGCGATGTCCTTGGCGGCGACGCGATTGAGCAGCGTCTGAGGGTCGAGGGTCCATTCAAAGCGATGTCGGGGTGGCGTTGAAAGGCGTCAGTTGGCGTTGAAAGGCGTCGCGGTCGGGCGCTGAAACCGAGGGATGGGCGGAGAGAATCGCCGGGCAAAGTCCTTAAGAAACGGCGTTCACAACGCCAACGCGGTCGTATGGGAACCAGTGTGAATCGAACGCACCGTCTTCCCGGTGCCGTTTTGACCGACGACGCCGTACGTCTTCCCGCGCTCGAGCGAAAAGTTGGTCCTCTGCAACAACACCCGCCCCGCGAACGCGAGGATGATGCCCTGCAAGTCCACGATGTAGTCCTTCTGCTCGTTGTCCTCCAGCGCGGACTCGTCCAACCCTTTGTACGACAACACCGCCGTCTGCGCGACGCCGGCGAGCTCCTCCTCCGGAATGGAGCTCTCGGAGATCAACGCGCTGAGGGTCGTTCCACACGAAACAAAAGTTCGCATCGGTCAGTTGAAAGGGACCCACGCGATCAAATGTTGAAACCGAGGGATGGGTGAAAAACAAAACGTGTGCAGTAGTTGTAGAACGCGCCTGAGCTCCATCTTGACGTCGTTCGCGAGGATGCCGGGGGGAATGCGAAGCGGCGCCATCTCGATGACCCACCCGCCGAGACTCGCGGCGTACGCGCGGACGACCGGGTCGAGGGACGCGCAACCCCCGTGCGCGGCGAGCGCGTCCTTGACGCAGTCCGTCGCCGCCTTCCGCTCGCCCGCGCCGCTCTGAGACAGACCCTTGAGCAAACCGGCTTTCGCCTTGGTCGCGCACTCGCGCAGGTCCGGGTGCGAGTGCTCCTCGCACTTCTCGAGCTCGGGTTTCAGCGCCGGGATGAACGGGTTCAGATCGCGGACGTCGTCGACGAGCGCGCAGATGTTGCCGCACGTCACCGCGGCTTTCTTTTTGATTTCCATCGCGCGTTCGCGCAAGCCGCGGAGGATTATGGGCAAGACGACTGCGGGCCATTTAAAAATAGTTCACCGGTCAGTTGAAACGGGACGCGATCAAATGTTGAAGCCGAGCGGTGGGTGAAAAGTTTTTGTATAGAACGCACCCGCGAGCGACGGCGCGTCCATGGAGTTGACAAACGTCGTCTCCATGAGCCTGTCGAGACAGCTCTCCGTCTGCGACTGCGGCTCGCGGATCGCCTCGATGATCAGATCGAGCATGCCCACGATCTCCGCGTTCTTCACGCACGAGCAGATCGGCCGCATCACTCGCCCGGCGCAGTGGCTCACCTTGGGGTGCGTGTCGAAGACGCACTCCAAAAACGCGGGGAAAATCTCCGGCAGATTCCGCATGAAGTACGCGGGCACCCGGCTCGCGAGGTCGCCGCACACGGTCAGCGCGCCGCACTTCGCCTGCCACGTCTTGTGCGTCATCGCTTCCACGAGCGCCGGCGCCAAGAGCTTCATCGCAGTCAGCGGCAACGCCTTGACCACCGCGGCTTGCGCCGCGTCCGCGGCTTCTCTCACCTCCGGACTCTGGTCCCCTTGCGCGATGAACATCTTCGACGCGAGGTCGATCGCGAACGGCTCGAACGCGCGCCCGGCGGTCCGGCACAGGTGCGCGTAGAGCGCGCACGCGCCCGCGCGCGCGATCGGGTCCTTCTTCGCCGCGAGCGCGTCGACGACGGCGTCCACGAGTTTCATGTCGGCGACGGCGCGCTCCGATGAAGCCAGTCCCGCGACGATACCCGCGAGCCCCGCCGCGGCGGCGCGGCGGTCGCGCGCGTCCGCGGCGGTCAGCGCGGTCGTCTTCGCCGCCGCCGCCATCGCGTTCGCGACGACGGGGGGCAGCGTTCTCGCGAACGGCGCGATCTCCTTCGCCGCGATGTAGCAGCCGCCGTCGTGGAGCGTCCTGAACGCAGCCATCGCGCGCTTCAGAGCGGGCTCTCGCTCCGGGGACGCGTCGTCCGCGAAGTGCGCGGACGCGACGTGCGCGTAGAGCGCGATCACGCCACCCCTGGCGCGGTCCTGCGCGTGGTCGCACGGCGGCGCGTCGTTCCGGACGAAGACGTCGACGGCGGCGGCGAGCGCGGCGGCGACGTCGGCGGTTTTCCCGGCGGCGGCGTCGCCGAGGCACGCCGCGCGCGCGACGCTGCGCGCCGCGTGGGCCACCTCCTCGTTCACGTCGCCGAAGCCCTTCACGAGCGCGGAGGTGGAGACGCCGCCGGCGAGAACCTCGGCGACGAACGCGAGGTGGTCGCTCTCGAGGATGGCGTCCTTAAAATCGATCGTTCCACGCGAGCGATGATGTCGGGGTGGAGTTGAAAGGCGTCAGAAGCGGAGTTGAAAGGCCTTCGTCGAGGTGTGTCGGGATTGAAAGCGAGGGACCCTGGGCGGAGAGAATCGCCGGGAGAGAAAGTCCTTAAGGAACGGCGTTCACCACGCCAACGCGGTCGTGTGGGGACCAGTGTACAACAGAACGCGCCTTGGCATTCTTCAGCGCCGCCTCCGCGCGGTCGTCCACCTCCCCGACGGAGGCGTAGGACGCCTCGGAGAGGTTCCCGAACGACTGCACGCTCGGGATTTTGCCGCTGCGAGGGAGGAGAGCGCGCGTTGGGGAGAGGGAGGGAGGGATGTGAGGGACGGGAGGGATGGCGCGGTGAGCGAGGGGCGACCTTCGCGGCGAGGCGAGTCGGCGGCGGTCGCGGTCGGGGATCTCGAACGCTTTTTTATTCCTGATGATGAAATGTGCGGACGCGGCGAGACGCGGACGTCGCCGTGGACGCGGTCCGGGCGCGGGTTTCGAACGTCGCGCGCGCGCACCGTTTCTCTAGCGTGATGCTCATGCTCGGTCGCGCGCGCCGGAGCGGACGTGTGCGGGCGGGAGGGCGCGCGGCGGCTTTGACCGAGACGACGGACCGCGCGCGACTGGCTTTATCGTTCGTACAGGTAGTCCGCCGCCAAACGCCGCTAAACCCCTGGCCACCGTCCGCCTCGCGTTCGTTTCCCGCGCGGATTTTCGTCGCGGAGAGGCGTTTTATTTTTCAGTTGCGCGCTCATCACACCAAAAAAAAACCTTCCTTTAATAACCTTAGTACCGCCCCCTTCTCTATCTACATACGACGGCGTCGCGCGCGCGCATCAGTGCCATCGCGTCGGCTTCGCCTTACTCCCCCCACTCCCCCCGCCCCCGCCCCCCCACGCGGGCCGTCCCTCCATCGCCTCGCGCTTCTTCCTCGCGCGGATCCGCTGCTCCGTCCTCGGATCCCTCGGCGCCTTGGGAATCCGATTCTCTCGACCGGCTCTCACCGCCTTGCCAAACTCCCCGGGCCGCACCGTGGCCCCTCTCCTCACCAAGTTCGCGGTCTCGTCGCCCGTCATCGGCGCGTCCACGCGCACGAACCGCGAGTCGACGACGAACCCGTCCACGGGGTCGCCGTCGATGGGAAGCACGAGCGAGCGGCGGACTTCTCGCGATATATCGCCGCCGCCGCCGCCGCTCTCCCGCGACGCTCTCAGAGCGGCGCCCTGTCGCCGGTCAAACTCGAACGACGACCGCACGCTGCCGTTCCCGCCGCCCTCGATGTCGACCCGGATCGCGTTCAGCTGCGACTGCAGATCGCGCTCGCGCTCGGCGAGGTCGCGCTCTCTCGCGAGCCGCTGCGCCTCCAGCTGCACGTCTTTCAGCTCCCTCGCCTGCGCCTCCATCTCGAGCCTATACGAGCGAACGTCGGGGTGGAGTTGAAAGGCGTCAGAAGCGGAGTTGAAAGGCGTCGAGGTGTGTCGGGATTGAAAGCGAGGGGTGGTGGGCGGAGAGAAACGCGCGTCGAGAGAGAAAGTCCTTAAGAATCGGCGTTCACCGCGCAAACGCGGTCGTACGGGGACCGGCGTACGACAGAACGCGCCTCAGGCGGTCCTGCGAGTGCTGCAGCTCCTCGACGATGCGCTTCAGCTCGCGCGGGTTCGGCGTCGCGCCGCGAGACGACGGCGTGCGGCCTCTGACCGCGAGCGGGTCGTGGAGAGGCCGCGCGACGCCGCCGTCGAACCCGCCCGGGGTGGACGGGTGCGACCGCGAAGGGATCATCATCTCGCCGCCGCCGCCGTGGTGTTCCAACCCGGGGACGTCCGCGTACGCGAGCTCCCTCCCGCCGCCGTACGACGGCGGCGGCGGGGAAGACGGCGCGGCGAACCCGTGGAGGGGGCGTCGGACGGAGTCCGGGACGTACCCGCCGCGGTTGGGGTCGTACACGGGCGATCGCATCGGCGGGGAGTTTCGCAGCCGCGGCGCCGGTTTGCCGGGGTCCTCCTCGTCCGGCGGCGGCGTCGTCTTCTTCTTCTTCTTCTCGGCGGCCGGGGACGCCGCGTCCGCGGGCGGCGGCGGCGGCGCGCCGTCGTCGGCGCCAAGGGGCGGCGCGAGGACGCCGCCCTCGACGCCGGTGTTCCCGCTCTGAGGGTTGATCACCGGGGACTCCGCCTTCAACGCGAGGATGCGACGCTCCTCTTCGATCACCTGTTGGATCCTTCGGTCGATCTTCGCGTCTTCGATCTCCTCCTTCAGCTTCTGTATGCGCGCGGCTTCCTTCTTGAGCCTGACTTGCTCGTCGAGGTCCGCGATGAGCTGCTGCCGCTGCCGCTCTTGCCGCGTGAGGTGATCCTCGCTCGGGTGCGCGCGCAGCGCGTCGAAGCCGACGTAATCCGTCGGCGTCGCGATCCCTGAGCGAACGTCGGGGTGGAGTTAAAAGGCGTCAGATGGAGTTGAAAGGCGCCGAGGGCGGGTATTGAAAGCGAGGTGTGGGCGGAGAGATGCGCCGGGCAAAGTCCTTAAGGAACGGCGTTCACCACGCCGACGCGGTCGTATGGGGACCAGTGTATAGAACGCACCGCCGCGGCCGCCGATGCGAAACGAGCTCGGGCCGCCGCCGGCGCGTTGCATCGGCGAGGAGTACTCCCCGTGCCCGGGGTTCACGCCGCGTCGCGGCACGCCGATCATGGCGTCCCTGTGCGTGCCGTCCGGGACGACGACGGAGGGACGCGCGGCGCGCGCGCGCGTCGGCGAGGAGACGTTCTGAGGCATGTTCCCCGCGTGGATGTCCACCCCGCGGAGATCCGCGTAGAGTTCGCCGCGAGCGTCGCGTAAAGGCGCGCCGCCGCCGCCCTTGCCCCACGGGTCGTACGCGACGTCGTCGAGCTGCCGGTTCGCGAGCTCCGCGCGTCTCCGCGCTTCCGCTTTCGCGGCGACTTGCGCGTCGAGCGCGTCTCGGAACTCGGCGTTTCGCGCTTCCTTCGCCGACGCCTCCGCCGCGGCGCGGGGGTCCACGAGCATCGGATCCCGTCCGGTGCCCGCGAACGACGCGCGCGCGGCAGCCGCGCGCGATATCGCGTCGCCGTACTCGGCGTTGATCGCGTCGAGGTGCCCGGGGAACGCGCCGGGATGATACGCGGCGTTTGCGGCGTTTGGTTGTGGGGGTCCGGTGATCTCTTCTTCCGCGAATCGCGCGTCGTCCGCGACGGACGCGCGCCCGAGCGTCGCGTCGTCCTCCCACGACGGGAACTTGCGCCGCTCCTCGCTCGTGGGGACGTGCGCTTCCAGACCGGGGATTTCCGCGTGGGCGTACTCGCGGCGGCGCGCGTCGACGTCGTCGTACACGTCGTCGCCGCTCGCGCCGGGGAACGCGCCGGGCGGGGGCGGATCGAGCTCGCTCCCCGGACGCGCCCCGCGCTCGCGCTCGAGGCGTTCCAGCGCCGCGCGCTCGCGCTCGAACAGGTCCGTGTTCCTGTCCACCTCTTTGGCTGTTGGATGCGGGCGGGTGGGGGTGGGGTGGAGCGGCCGAGTCGGTGGGCGGCGCGACGGGGGGTGGGGAGAGGCGCGGCCGAGACGCGACGCGACGCGACGCGACGCGACGACGCCGACGCGACGCGATTTTCAAACCAGACGACGCGGACGACGACGCACCGAGCTCGTCGAGGTACTTCTGCTGCTTCAGGCGCTCGGCCTCCTCCTTGGTTATCCTCACGACCGGCGCGGGTTGGCCTTTGCGGCGCATCGGCACCGCCTTCGGCGGTCCTCTCTTCGGGCCGAACATCGCGCGTGCGTCGGCGCCGCGTGAGATGAGATGAGCGGGCGCCCCGCGCGGATTCGCGTTTCAAAAGCAAAAGTCAAGGCCGCGCGCTGCGATGCGTTGGCCGAATACCGTACCGAGCTCGATTTTCGAAAGCAAAAACGGGGTCAAAGAAAATGTTTTTTTCGCGTTGAAAAATTAAGTTTCACCGATGGCCGAACCGAGCTCGGTTTGGAATCTCGTCTCCGCCTCTCACTGCAGCTTCCAGAAGAGCCAGACAGGCAGGGTCGAGCCGAGATCGTCAGGTGGGCACCGGGCATCCCCCTCGCCGCCACTCGCCGGCGCGCGCGCGGCGGCGGGATGAGCGCGACGGCGAGGTCCGCCGCGCTGCTCGGGCTCCTCGGCCTCGGCGTCGGCGTGAACGTCTACGGCGCGTACTACGTGCTCGCGTTGAACGGTCAGGCGCCCGCGACGTTCGTGGTGGGCGGCGCGAGCGCGATCGGCGACGGTCGAGACCTCTGGGCGCAGACCGCGGCGGCGGCGGCGGCGGAGGAGAGATCCGCGGCGGAGAAGAAGAAGAAGGAAGAGGGGGAGAACGGGAGGCGGTGGTGGAAGCCGTGGAGGGGACGGTCGCGCGTGACGAGCGGCGAGGACGTCCGGTCGTAGGCTGCGCGGACGGACGGGAAGGATCTGCCCGGCGTCGAAGAGAAAAGTCGCCGTCTCGGAACGTTCGCGTCGTCGTCTTCTTACCGAACCCTTCTCCAATTGAAAGACGAAATGAATAGTTACTACCTCTCCCCCGCGCACGATACCGAAAACGAACGTCACCGCCCACCCCCTTCACCCCTCCATCCCCCACCACGTCGCGAACGACCAGACCGATCAGAACGCGGCTCCGAACGCGCCGCCGCCGCCGTCGCCGTCGTCGTCGTCGTCCTCGACGCGCTCGCCGCCGCTCATGATCCTATCCCCCAACCTTCGCAACCCGCCGACGATGTTGTTCGCGAAGGTGCTCGGCGGCGGCGCGATCGACGCGCGGTTCTTCTTCGCCTCGGCGGCCGCCTTCATCGCGCGGATCTGCTCCTTCTCCTCCTCGATCGCCGCCTCGTTAACTCTCTCCATCTCGCGCATCTCCTCCGCGAGTTGCGACGCCAACACTCTGTGCCGCCGCGCGTTCTCCTCCACGCTCGCCGCGGACGCCCGGAGCGCCTCGACCTCGCTCGCGTCCGCGCGCTTCGCCTCGAGCTCCGCCTCCTCCGCGGCGGCCTCGACCCGCGACAGCCGCGCGGCGAGAGACCACGCCTCCTCGCGACGCCGCCGCGCTTTCTTCTCCAGATCCGCCATGGCGATCAGCGCGACGTCGCGCGCGATCGCCGCCTCGCGCGCCGCGGTCTCCTCCCTCTTCGCTTCCTGCGTCGTGTACGCCACCTTGTACGCGAGGTGCTCGTTCTTGAGCGAGCGCGCGAGGGCGTCAGCCTTTTGCAGGACATCCGCGGCGAGGTCTCGCGACGTCGCCGCCATCTCCGCGGCGGCTTCCAGACGCGTCAACTGCGCCGTCGCCGCCTTCGCCGCGAACGCCGTCCGATGCGCGGTGATCTCCGCGTCCTTCAGCGCTCGGTACGCGCGCATCTTGTTCACGACCGCGGCGTTCACGACGCCGTCGTGCGTCTTGGCGACGTCGCGTCTCGAGGCCGCGTCGTCTATCGATTCGAAAAACGCGCGCCGCGCGAGCTCGGCGTTCATCTTCGCGTTCTCCAGGTCGTCCTTAGGGTCGACGGTCCATACAAGCGAACGTCGGGGTGGAGTTCATAGGCGTCAGATGGAGTTGAAAGACATCGAGGTGTGTCGGGATTGAAAGCGAGGGACCCTGGGCGGAGAGATGCGCCGGGCAAAGTCCTTAAGGAACGGCGTTCACCACGCCAACGCGGTCGTATGGGGACCAGTGTACAACAGAACGCGCCTTCGTCTCCTCCGTTCGCGCCTTCGCGACCGCTCGCGTCATCTTCGTCTGCTCCGCGACGTCCATCATGAGCTCCGCGACGCGAATCGCGTCCGTCTGCGCCGTCAGCGCGTCGTCGTACGCCACGCGGACGTGCTCGAAGCTGAGGGTCGAGGGTCCGTACGAGCGAACGTCGGGGCGGAGTCGAAAGGCGTCAGTCAGTCGGAGTCGTGAGGCGTCGCGGCGCGTCGGGATCGAAAGCGACTGAGGGGCGCGCGGGGAGATGCGCCGGGATTAAAAGTCCTCGGGAAGGAACGGCGTGCACCGCGCGAACGCGGTCGCGTGTACGGGGAACAGCGCACAGCGGGAACGCGCCTCACGCCGTCCACCCCCGTCGACGACGACCTCGCGCGATCCAACCGCGCCGCCGCCTGCATGGGTGAAGCGATCGGTCAGTCGAACGTCTTAGCGGTCAAACGTTGAAAGGGAAGCGCGGGTGAAGAGTGACGACGGGAAAAAAGTTGTCCTTAAGGAACGGCGTGCACCACGCGAACGAGGTCGTATGGGAAGCAGTCTCACCTCCGCGAGCGTCGCGTGCGTCGCGTCTAAAGAACGCGCGGCGTCGTTCGCGGCGTCGATCGCGGTCTCGCACTCGACGACGGAGGCGGCGTGCGCGCGGACGGCGTCGTCGTGCGCGCGCTGCGCGTCGTCGATGGCGTCGTCCGCGCGTTCGCATCGCCGCGTCGCCGCCGTCATGGCGTCCGTCGCGACGCGATTCTCGCGCGACGCGATCCCCGACCGTTCGCCGCCGTCCGCTAGTCTCCATACTTCGTCGTCGTACGCGCCCTGCGTTTCCGCGAGCGCGCTGACCGCGGCGTCCGCGACCGCGCGCGCGAGCTCAGCCTCGGCGCGCGCGGTGGCGAGCGGCGCCTCGGTCTGCTTCAGAAGCGCCATGGCGTCGTAGAGGTGGCGCGACGCGCGCTTCGCGTCGTCCCCCGCGCGCGAGGATTTGCGGGAGAGGTACTCGAGCTCGTACGGGTTCAGGTCTCTCGTCGTCGTCGTCGTCGTCGTCGTCGCCGCGGCGGCGGCGGCGGGAGGGACCACCTCGGTCTGGTCGTTCGCGATCGCCATCGCCTTGGGTCGCTGCGACGACGCGACGGGGAGGGAGGCGGCGCGCGGCGTGAGCGACGCGACGGACGCGGCGGAAAGATGAATAACGGAAACTACGACGCGTTGGCTGCCGACGGATAATCCACCCTCCGTCGGATGAGATCGAGGGACGCACCTCGCGGCGGAAGAACGCGACGACGCGGACGCCGCGCGCGGGCCGGCGCGCGCGCGTATCGCCGCGCGACGCGGGGAGGAGCGCGCGGGAGCCGGGGGCGAGGAGCGCGGACGCCATGGTATCAGCGGTGCCTGGCGCGTCGGGGTAGTGATCGGCGCTCGCCGAAAAAACCAAACGGTCCGAGAAAGAAACGCCTCCTCTTTTCTGTCTGCTCCAGAGTCGGGGGACTCCGTGGCGCGCTCCGGTTTTTTATCCCGAGCGCGAGCGAGTGCTCCCCGAAATGGAACCAACCGGTCGTGTCGCGAGCGAGAGCGCGACGGCGACGCGCGGCGCGGGGCGCGAACACATCCCGCGACGCGCGCGCTTCCGAGTCACCACTCGCGGTCGAGGAAACCCCACGACGCGTCATGTCGGGTTTCGTCCCAGGCTCGCGCGCGAGGAACTTCAAGCAGAATTCCACGGTGCGTCCGCGCGCGCGCGACGATCGCGCGTCGCGCCCCGAGTCGCGATCGCGCGGTTCCCCCGCGCGGCTCGCATTTCTCGATTGACCCGCGCGGCGAATCGCGCTCGAGATCGTGACGCGGTTCGCGCGCGATCGCGTCGCTTCCCGGGCGGGGATTCGCCACCGCGACAAAAGTCCGCGGCGAGGCCGAACCCGCGTCCTCGCGCGCGTTTCGCCGCGGAGGTCCCCGCGCGGAGACGGCGCGAGCGAGTCGCTCTTCTCGGCCAGCCCTCTCGAAGAAAAGAATCGAGAAATCATTCATCACAGGATGGATCCCCCCGCCCCCCCCCGAGATCGCCTCTCTGACCGCGCCCCCCGCCTCCCTCCCTCCCGCCGTCGCCATCGTCCCCCCTCCTCCCCGACGCTCAGCCCGGCCTCAAGCCCGAGACGGACCATTACCGCCGCACGTCGGACAACTACGGCGCGTACGCGGACCCGCGCGACTACCACCGCGGGTCCGTCCTCGACATCAAGCCCCCGTCGCGCGTCGACGACGTGTACGCGAATCCGAACGAGCTCGCGAAGAAGCGAGGCGAGGGCGCGCGCGTGAGCGACACGTACGGCGAACACTACCGCGCGAACGGGTACCAACCCCCGAGGGGGGGCGTCGCGCTCAGCGCGCACGCGATGCCGTTGAATCCCGCCGAACGCATGCGCGCGGAGGCGCAGGTGAGACTGCTTCCCATACGACCCCGTTCGCGTGGTGCACGCCGTTCTTTAAGGACTTTTCCCGTCGTCACTCTTCACCCGCGCTTCCCTTTCAACGTTTGACCGGTAAGACGTTCAACTGACCGATCGCTTCACCCACGCAGGCGGAGGAGGCGCGCCAAAAAAAGGAAGCCGCGAGGCGCGACAACGGACGCGCGCTCGACTTCCGCGGCGACCTCCCGGAGGAGTACGGGAAGTACTACAGCAACGGGTACGACTTCGAGGGGTACTACCAAGGGTTGCACGCGGGGAAGTCGCAGCAGTCGCAGCTCCGAGGCGCGGGCGCGTTCACCGAAGAGACGCTTCCGTATCGAAACATCGACAAGCCCGCGAGGGAGACCAAGCTGGAGCAGAAACCGCTGCCGAAGCACATGGACATGGACCTCGGCGTCCGAGCGATGATGGCGCCGACGTCGCGTAACACGAAACCGCAGACGGGCGAGGCGGTGAGCCGCCTCGCGATGTTTCGAAAGCAGCAGCAGACGGTGCACGGGCTCACCGCCGGAGACATCGTGGACGCGGAGGACCCCTCCGACCGCCGACGCGCGAGCACGAAGGTTCTCGCGACGCTCGTGCCGGAGATGAACGAGGGGACGTACCAGGACTACGCCAAGCCGGGGCGCCCGCGGCATTACAACCATCACGAGTCGAAACTCGCGAGGAACTTTAGCGCCGCAAAGGACTCAGACGTCGACGACGGGGTGTTTCAAAACAACCGCAAACGCGACGAACGACGCGCGCGCGACACGACCGGGTCGCTGTCCTTCGGCAGAGGCGGGCTCGGGCGCCAGCTCGGGCACGACGGGACCGCGTCGGACATCAACGCGCTCGCGCACTCGGGGCACAGGGGTGACCAAGTGCAACGCTACGGCGATCGATACGCGGGTAAAAACACCGAGTCGCACCTCGGGACGGGGGTCACGTTCGTACCGGACGAGGACCGCGTCAACGAGGGCATCTTCGATCGGCGTCATCGCACCGGGTTCGAGGGAAGGAAGCAAGAGTCCGCGCTGTCCGGGGTCGCGATGAACCTCGACAAGTCGAAAACCGACGACGGCATCTTCGACGAGCGGCACAACTTTGGAAAATACGCGGGCAAGGACGTCGAGTCCGGCATCGGCCCGGGGATGTCCCTCGACAAGTCGAAAACCGACGACGGGATCTTCGACGAGCGGCATGTCGACCCGTTCGCCGGGCGAGACACCGCGGGGAACATCGGCCCCGGGTTCGTCGTCAACGCGGACGCCGCCGCGGACAAGGCGTTTCTTCCGGAAAACGCCGGACGCATCCAACACGCCGGAATGGACAACCAGAGCGCGTTGGCGTCAAACTTCGCCGTCAAGGACGACGCCGCGGGCTTGGACGATCGCAAGCACGGCGGGAAGTTCGCGCACAAGGACTCCGAGACGGGCATCGGCCGCGGGTTCGTCCCGCGCGAGGACGCCTCGAGCGAGGGCATCTTCGCGGAGAATCGCTCGTACAGGTGCGTTCTATACACTGGTCCCCATACGACCCCGTTCGCGTGGTGAACGCCGATCCTTAAGGACTTCGCCCATCGTTTCTCTCCGCCCACCCCTCGCTTTCAATCCCCGCCCTCGACGCCTTTCAACTCCAACTGACGCCTTTCAACTCGTACAGCCACGCCGGCAAGGACAACGCCACCGGCCTCGGCCCCGGTATGGTGCCCACGCGCGCGGCGGCGGGCGACGGCATCTTCAACGAGGGCAGGACCAACGTCCACGCGTCGAAGGACTCCGAGACCGGGCTCGGGTACGGCATGATCCCGCGCGCGGACGCGGCGTCGGATAATTTCGTCGCGGATCGACACGGATGGATGGACACGCACTCGAACATCGGGCCCGGGATGGTGGGCACGGAGGACCATCAACAACGAGAGGGGTTCGCCGCGGCGTACAGCGAGGCGCACAGCGGGAAGGACACGGAGGATCACATGGACCCGGGGATGGTTCCGCAGGTGCAGTGGAAGGGCGGGACGTCCGCGAAGGAGACGTACGCGCGGCGGCAGGCGCTGAACAAGTACTACAAACACAAGGGGTTCGTGCCCGTGATTTAAGATTTCGTCGTCGTCGTCGCGTCGTCGCGGTTGGTGGATGGCGTTCGCGGGCGGGCGAGGACGGAGGGCGGCGGGTCGAAGGAGCGCGCGCGCGAAGGAAGGCGGTTCCCCGACTCCACGCTCGCGCGCAGTAGTGGGTGGGCGTTTAAATGTAATCGTATCAATCATCACTGAAGCTCTCGCGACGTCGTGAAGCGCTCTTCGACGCTGTTGTGGACTGCGTCATTTTTTTTAGGGTCGCTCGGCTGAGCGAAGAACCGAATGTTACCGCGAGATCTCACAGCGTCAGAAGGACACGCGCGCGGCGGCGGCGTCTTCCCCCGCCATGGAGCACGGTCGGGGGAAGCGCGCGCGGGAGTACGGCGACCACGGCGATCGCGACCGCGACCGCGACCGCGACCGCGACCGCGGGCGGCGGCGCGATGACGCGCGCGGCGGCGAGCGACACGGGGGCCGGTCGAGCGGGAGGGAGGATTCGCGCGACCGCGGTCGACGCGACGGCAGCCGCGACCGGCGCGACGGCAGCCGCGACCGGCGCGACGGCAGCCGCGACCGCGCGGGGCCTCGCGGCGACGCCAAGCCGATAGAGCCGTACGACGCGCGCACGTTCGACTGGGAGGCGCGTCGCGTCCCGTCCCCGCTCGCGGAATTTCGGCACCCTCGCTGGCTCTTCACTCCGTCTGACTCCCTCCTCCTCCTCCTCTTCCCGTCGACCACCACCGCGCGCGTGACCAAAACCACAGGCGGCGTCGCACGCGTTCGACAGGATGTTCCACGCCTCGCGAGACGTCTACCCGCGACGCACGTCCTATCACAAAGACGTCGTCGAGTTCGTCCCGGCGTGGGTAAAGTTTAGGGCGGAACGAGAGGAGGCCAAGGCGGCGCGAAACGCGGAGCTGAAGTACGTCCCTTCCACGGCGCCGCCGGACTTGTCGCTCACGATCGTGCTGGACATCCCGGAGTCGTACGACCCGAGGTATAAGTGTAACGTGCACGTGAAAACGGCGAGCGACGAGACGTTACGTAAAGAATGCGAGCGCGGGCGGGTGCCGTTGGAGGCGGCGACTCAGTACAAAAAATGTCTCTCGTTTTACGAAGACTACGCGCAAAAGACAAACTTCGAGAGGCTCGTGCAGATGGCGAAAGATAAGGCGAACCTGCCGATCGCGGCGGAGCACGACGCGATCGTGGACGCGGTCAGGAACCACGGCGTGACGCTCATCGCGGGAGACACCGGGTGCGGGAAGTCGACGCAGGTGCCGCAGTACCTCCTCCGCGCCGGGTTTTCGAAACTCGCGATGACGCAGCCGCGGCGTATCTCCGCGATCGCGCTCGCGCGGCGCGTCTCGCGCGAGACCCTGAACGAGCACGGCGCGGAGATCGCGTATAAGATTCGGTTCGACAGCACGAGCGAAGGACGCGTCACGAAGGCGCTGTTTCTCACCGAGGGGGTGTTACTTCGTCAGCTCGCGTCGGACGGAGATTTGCGAAAGTTCGACGTCGTCGTCGTCGACGAGGCGCACGAGCGACACTGCAACACGGACTTGCTGCTCGGTCTCCTCCGCGGCGTCCTCGATCGACGCCCGCACGACTTCAGGATCGTCATCATGTCCGCGACGATGAACTTGGAGCTCTTCGCGTCGTATTTCGGCGGGTGCCCGGTGATCCGAGTCCCCGGGCGGTTACACCCGATTCAGACGCACTGGATCCCGTCGGCGCCCGCCGCGCTCGCGGGCCGGGGGCGCGACGCGATCGATGACGCGCCCGCGCTCGTCGGCGGCGAGAAGCCTCCTCGCGTTCAGCCGCGCGGGCGACAAGATAGGATCGACCCGCAGCCGTACCTGCTCCTGCTGCAGCGCATCGACGCCAACTACCCGAGGAACGAACGCGGCGACCTCCTCGTGTTTCTGAGCGGCGTCGCGGAGATCGCCGCGGTCGCGGAGCGACTCAAACCGTACGCCGCGGAGTCCAGGCGGTGGGTGATACTTCCCCTGCACGGCGGCCTGAGCGCGAGCGAGCAGGACCTCGTCTTTGACGGCGCGCCGCACGGCGCGAGGAAGTGCGTGTTGGCCACGAACGTCGCCGAGACGTCCATCACGATCGACGGGATTCGATTCGTGTGCGACAGCGGGCGGCATAAGGAGATGACGCGCGATAACGCCGGCGGCGGCGGCGTTTCCGCGCTCAGAGAAGGGTGGATCTCCAAGGCGAGCGCGGAGCAGCGGAAGGGGCGCGCGGGGCGGACCGGCCCGGGGGTGTGCTTCCGGATGTACGGCGAGAACGAGTTTCAAAAGTTTAAGGCGTCGACGCCGCCGGAGATCCGCCGCGCGAGCTTGGAGAGCCTCACGCTGACGCTGAAGCAGATCGCGGGCGACGCGTGCGACTCGCGGACGTTCCCGTGGATTGAACCGCCGCCGAACGACGCGCTGGAGGCTGCGGTGTGGAATCTCCGAGAGCACGGCGCGCTCAGGCGCGTTCTCCTTCCTCGCGCCGGTCCCCGCGCGACCGCGTTCGTATTCACACTGGTCCCCATACGACCTCGTTCGCGCGGCGCGCGCCGTTCCTTGAGGACTTCGCCCGTCGTTTGCATCTCTCCGCTCGCCCCTCGATTTCAATCCCGACGCGCCGCGACGCCTTTCGACTCCGACTGACGCACCCCTGAACGCCACCCACCCCGACGTCGCTTCGTATGGGCGATTACCCTCAGTTTCGACGAGCGGTTGACGCCGCTGGGCGCGTTGCTCGCGACGTTGCCGGTGGACGTGTCGAGCGGGAAACTGCTCGTGTACGCCGCGTTGTTCGGACTCGCGGGGCCGTCGAGCACGATCGCCGCGGCGCTGTCCGTGAAGTCGCCGTTCACGCAGAAAGGCGCGGGCGGCGGCGGCGGTCGAGAGGACGATCAGAGGGCGGAGTTTCAGTCCCCGCACGGAGACCCGTTTACGCTGTTGAAAGCTTTCGCGTCGTGGTTGCGCGCGAGGGACGACGCGAGAGAACGCGACACGCGGCGGTGGTGCCGCCGCCGCGGGATCGAGGAGCAGCGTTTGATCGAGACCGCGAAGCTGCAGCGCCAGTTTCAGGACATGATCGACGCGTCCGGGATGACGACGAAGACGGACGGGGGGAGCGACGGCGAGGAGGAGGAGGAGGACGAGCGTTGGATGGGCGAAGGGCGCTGGCGCCGCGGCGGCGGCGGCGGTCGCGGCGGCGGCGGCGGTCGCGGCGGCGGCGGCGGCCGAAACGCCGGCCGCGGCGGCCGAGGCACCAAACCCGGCGGCGGCGTCTTGCGCTTACGACAGCGCAAGCTCCGCGAGATGCAGCGCGCGCGCGAGCGCGAGCGAGGGACGCGCGTGCTCGAGATGGACTTAACCGGCGGCGTCGTCGGCGGCGGCGGCGGCGACGACGACGGCTCCGACTCCGACGCCGCCGCCGACGCCGCCGTCGCGGACGCCGCGCGCTTCGAAGCGGAGCTCCAAGCCCTGGACCTCGAAGTCCACGTGGACCTGCGTTCCGCGCGAAGAGCCGCGATGAACGGCACGCTCGCGTCGCACGAGCTGTCGCTCCTCAAGGCGATTCTGACCATCTCTTCGTACCCGCGCGTCGCCGCGCCGGACCGCTCCAACGTCGACAAAGCCTTCGACGCCGGCGCTGGCCCGGGCGTCCCGGACCGCACGCGGTACCAGGCCGACGCGAGGTTCCACACGCGCTCGACGCGCGATTGCGTCTTGCACCCGACGTCGTCGCTGAACGACCCGAACCACGCGCCGGTGGGCACGGAGGTGCTGCTGTACGGCGAACTGTTAGGCGCGTCCCGGTCGCGCCGGTCGTTCGTTTCTCTCCGCACAACCCTCGGTTTCAACGCCCGACCCCGACGCCTTTCGACTTCAACAAATGACGCCTTTCGACTCCGCCCCGACGACCCTCGGCAGACACGACGCGGTCGTTTTTGTGCGGCGTCACCCGCGCGCCCGCGCACGCGTTGCTCCTCGCGTCCGCGAACGTCGAGTGCGACGCTCTCGCCTCGCGGATCCTCATCGACCGGTGGCTGATGCTGCGCGTGCACACCCCCGGCGGCGGCGAGAGCTTGCTCGTCGCCGCGTCGCGCCTGCGCCTCGCGCTGCAGTCGCTCTTACGTCGACGGCTCGTGCGGACGAAACACGGTGAGACTGCTTCCCATACGACCCCGTTCGCGTGGTGCACGCCGTTCCTTAAGGACTTTTCCCGTCGTCACTCTTCACCCGCGCTTCCCTTTCAACGTTTGACCGGTAAGACGTTCGACTGACCGATCGCTTCACCCACGCAGGGTCGCGCGTCGGCGACGAAGCGTCGCCGCCGGCGGAGTTATCGGACGTCTTGCGCGCCGCGCCCGTCCCCGAGGCGGCGAAGATCATCGGCGAGGAGACGATCGCGGCGGCGCGCGCGGCGGGCGGCGGCGGCGGCGGGCCCGCGGTCGGTCACGAGGTGGTCGCCGGCGAGCTCGCGGAGGACCTCGCGAAGTTTATCGAGGTGCGTCCCATACACTGGTCCCCATACGACCGCGTCGGCGTGGTGAACGCCGATCCTTAAGGACTTTGCCCGGCGTGTCTCTCCGCCTACCCCTCGCGTTCAATCCCCGACCTCGACGCCTTTCAACTACAACTGACGCCTTTGAACTCCACCCCGACGTCGCTTTGTATGGAACGACCCTGAGTGGCCGGCGCGGTACGACGTGGAGATCATGAGCAAGAGCGCGCTGCTCATGAACTTGCCGCCGGACCCGGACCCGGACCCGGTTGAAGATGGAACGTCAACCGGCGCGAGCACCGCTCCCGCCGGGATCGCCGTCGCGCCGTGGCTCAGGTGGGCGGCGCTGCGGGAGGCGGAGGACGAGCTCGCGTCGCACGCGGCGGCGCCACATCTTCGGAAGCGGTGGACGTGCGACGTCTGCGGGAAGGTGATGATCGCGTTCTTCTCCGAGATCGACGCGCACAGGGAGCGGTGCGGGCGTCCGACCGCGGAGGACGACGAGCGCGCGCTGCCGTCGAAGTTTGGGAAGGGAAGCAGGAAGCTGCCGTCGCTGCAGAGCGAGATGGCGGGAGGCGCGAACCTGGGGTTGCCGAGAGAGGCGTTGGGTCTCGGTGCGGGCGACGCGGTGCGGGCGACGGAGGGAAAGAAAACGAAACCGCCAGACCGGGAAGATGAAACGTCAACCGACGCGAACGCGAAGCCGTTCGAGTGTGAGCGGTGCGGCCTGCACGGGATGTTTACGCCGACGGAGGCGCTCAAGCACAAGCGGACGTGCGGGAAAGACGCGCGGGCTTGAGGTGGTTTAGATAGACTAATTTGTCTTAGACGCCGCGATTGTTATAGAAAAATCACCTCGAGTCGGCGACAGTACCCGTGCGTGCTAAACGTACGTGCTCGTTCGTGCTTCCTCCCTCGTCACCGCTTCTTCTTGTGCGAGCCGCTGTGCGCGTCCTTGAGATGCTTGTGCAGCGCGTTCCCGGACGCGAACGTGAGGCGGCACAGCGAGCACTTGATCGTCCCGGCGCCTTGCGGCGCGTCGTCCTTCTTGCCGCCTTTGCTCTTTTTCGCTCGGCGCTGTTTTTTCTTCCCGCCGCCGCCGCCGCCGCCGCCGCCGCCGCCGTCCTCTTCTTCGCCCTCCTCCTCCTCGTCGTCCGAAACCGTCGTTACTGGAGCGTTTTCGCCGCCACCGTCGTCTTCGACCTCCGCGTCCAAGTGCTCGAACCCCGCGGTCGTGTTCGACCCGACGCGCGTCTCGTCCTCTTCGGTGATTTCTTCCAAACGCGCGACGGACGCGAGGATGTTTTCGTCGCCGCCGCCGCCGTCGCCGGCGGCGCTCGCGCCCGCCGCCGCGGCGCTCGCGGCGGCTTTCTTGCTCACCTTACCCTTCTTGAGCATCAATCGCGGTTTATTCCGCGCGAGTCGGTCGCCCGCGACGCTGCTCCCGGCGAAGCTGATGACGTCGTCGTCGTCCGAGTCGTCCTCCGGCTCTCCGCCGCCGCCGCCGGTCGCGGCCGGGTTCGTCTTCTTCAACTTCATCGCCGCGGCGAGGTAATCGTCGTCGTCGTCGTCGTCGTCGTCGTCGTCCGAAGAAGACGCGCGCTCGTCAACGACCGCGGCCGCGGCGGATTTCTTCCCCACGCGCGCGTTGCCCATCATCCGCGCGAGCATCGCGTCCTCGTCGTCGTCCTCCTCCTCCTCCTCGGACGCCTCCTCCTCCTCGCCCTCGCCCGCGCCTTCGGCTCCTCCTTCTTCTTCCTCCTCCCCCTCCTCCTCGCTCTCGCCGCCCGAGTCATCCGCCGCATCAGCCGCCATCGCCTCCTCCGCGGCCGCTTCCTCCATCGCGGCGCGGACGACCTCTTCGTCCTCCATCATCTCCTCCTTCAACTTCATCGCCGCCGCGCGATGCCGCTCGCTCCGCTCGTGGTTCTCCCACTGCTTCTGCGACTTGAACTTCTTCTTACACGCCGGGCAGTACAGGTCCATCGCCGCCGCGGCCTTCTCCGCGGCCGCTCGCTCCGCCGCCTCGAGCTCGTCGCGCATCCACTGCGGCCCATCCTCGTCTTGGATCGTCCAGTCCGCCTCTTTGAACGTGGTGGCCGCCGCGACGCGCGCTTTTTTTTCCTCCGCGCGCCGCCGCTCCGCCGCGAGCGCCTTCGGGTCGTTCCATACAAAAACAGTTCACCGGTCAGTTGAAAGGAGACGCGATCAAATGTTGAAACCGAGCGGTGGGTGAAATACGTTTGTATAGAACGCACCTTCGCCTTGTCCAACTTGGCCGCCTCCGCCTGGTGCTTGACGTACCGCTTATCGCGCTTCCTCACGAACGCGATGAGCTGCCGCACGGTGTCGTTGAACTCGCGCGCCTCCGCGCGGCGAAGCTTTTTGTTCTCCTCGTCCATCAGCCGCCGCACTTTGCGTTTTAAGGGTCGAGGGTCCGCGCGAAGCGACGAACGTCGGGGTGGAGTTCAAAGGCGTCAGATGGCGTTCAAAGGCGTCGCGGTGTGTCGGGATTGATGAAGAAAGCGAGGGGTGATGGGCGGAGAGAAACATACGCCGGGAAGTAAAGTCCTTAAGGATCGGCGTTCACCACGCCGACGGGGTCGTATGGGGACCGGTGTAAACGTGATGAACGCACCTTTGCGGTTCGCCGCCTCGGCGAGGTTGTACTCGTCCGCCCACGCGAACGTCTTCATCGTCGCGTGCAGCCCCCAGTGCGCGTAGAACTTGCGGACGACGTCCCACGGCGAGGCGGCGTCGCCGAATGTGGGCGCGGGCGTGAACGAGTCCTTCCCCGCCGCCAACGACGCGGCTTGCTCTTGCTTGTCGAGCGCGTCGAAGAGTTTTCGGTAGACGTCGTAGAAGGATCCCGGGGCGTCGTCGAACCCGCGGAACGCGGAGGAGGCGTTGAAGTACGGCATCAGGTTGATCTCGTCCTCCGGGCGCGCGCCCTCGCCGCCCGCGGCGTGCGCGCCCGCCTTCAAGATCGCCTCCCTGTGCGAGTCGTACCACGCGCGCTCGTTGGCGTCGGACAGCGTCTCGTACGCGCCGCGAACCTCCTTGAATCGCGCCTCCGCCTCGTCGTGTCGATGCGCGTTCTTGTCCGGGTGCCACTCCAGCGCGAGCTTCCGGTACGCCTTCTTGAGCTCCGCGGCGGTGGCGTCGCGGGAGACCTCGAGGACGTCGTAGTGGCACCGCATCTTGTGCCTGGACGGCGGCATCGCGTCTGTTGAGGCGGCGACGACGAAGACGAAAAAAGTCGGCGCGGCGGCGCGATGCGCGGACGCGCGGACGCGCCGTCGCCGTCGCCGTCGCCGTCGCCGTCGCCGCGGGGGGTGGGAGACGACGCGCCGCCGCGGTCGCCGCCGTCGTTCGCCGCGGCGTCGCCCGCCCCTGCGCCGGCCGGGGCCCGGGGGTCCGCGCGCGGGTGTGTGTCGTCGCGCGCGCCGACACGAACTCGAACACTGCCAGGCAGTTTCTCCAGTGCCGAGAAAAGCCCTTCACTTCTTCGCGCGCGCCCCCCCCTCCGCCGCAGCGCCCAGATCCGACATGAGCCCCACGCTCGAGGCCGACGGGTCCATCGCGTGCGCGATCTTCTCGCACCTCGAGCACCCGAGAGACCGCATCGCGCTCGCCGCCGTGAGCAGGGTGTTCAGGGACGCGGAGAAGTCGGACGCGTCGCTGCCGGGCGGCCTGAGTGCGTGTTTGAACTGTCTCGGTGACAAGTTTTACGAAGGGGCACACGACGGTAACGACGAGCACGAGACCAAGTACGCGAAGGCGCTCTACTGGTGGCGCAAGGGGGCAGATCGCGGCGACGCTGCTAGCATGCAAGGGATCGGATATTGCTATTACTTCGGCGAGGGCGTGGAGTTAGACCACAGGAAGGCGTTCGAGTGGGTGGAAAAAGCGTCCGAGTTGGGGCACGTCGGCGCGACACACGACCTCGCCGACTACTACCGGTCCGGCATAGGCGTGGAAAAAGACGTACCGAAGGCGGTCGAGTTATACGTCAAGGCGGCTGGGTTGGGTGACTCGTATGCTGCGAGGGAACTCGGATATATTTACGAAGGCGGCTGGTGGGGCGTGGCGAGAGACAAAAAAGAGGCGCTGAAGTGGTACCGCGTCGCGGTGGAGCTCGGCACCACCGACGCGCAACGCCACTTGGACCGAGTCGAGGCCGAGCTCCGCAGGACGCACACCAACTGACGACGAACACAAACCTTTTGATACAAATTACAACGAACGCGCGCACATCCGTGAATCACTTCTTCCGCTCGCGCGCGCGTCCCCGGGTGCCGAACCTCTCGCGACGCACAGCTGGACGCGTCCTCTCCAGTGCCGAGAAAAAAAGAGCGAAGAAGAGCCCTTCACTTTCCCGCGCGCGCCCCCCCGTCGCGCGCCTCCACCTCGCGCGACGATGACGACGCCGTCTCCCTCGGATCCCGTCGCCTTAGAGCTCGCGCTTGCGCTGAGGGCGACGCGCGAGGCTTTAGACGAGAGAGACGCCGAGCTCGAAGCCTCGAGGGCGAAGCGAGCGGAGCTCGTCACGGAGCTGGAAGCCACGAAGACTACGCTGGAAGCCACGAATACTACGCTCGAGGCTCTCCAGGCTTTGCACCCCACTAAGATCGACGGTAACGTCGCGTGCGCGATCTTTTCGCATCTCAAGGAGCCGAAGGATCGCGACGCGCTCGCCAGCGTGAGCACGGTGTTCAGGGACGCGGAGAAGTCGGACGCGTCGTTGCCGGGCGGCCTGAGTGCGTTGGAAGAGCTCGGTGACGAGTTTCACAACGAGACCAAGTTCGCGGAGGCGGTCTACTGGTACCGCAAGGGTGACGATCGCGGCGATGCTGGTTGCATGCACATGATCGGACTTTGCTATCGGTACGGCAATGGCGTGGAGAAAGACATGAGGAAGGCGTTCGAGTGGCTGGAAAAAGCGTCCGAGTTGGGGCACGTCGGCGCGACACACGACCTCGCCGTGTACTACGAGAACGGCACAGGCGTGGATAAAGACGAAGCGAAGGCGATCGAATTACACGTAAATGCGGCGGGGTTGGGTAACTCGATTTCCGCACAACGTCTCGGGCACTGTTACGAAGACGGCGAGTGCGGCGTGGCGGTGGACAAAAAAGAGGCGCTCAAGTGGTGCCGCGTCACGGTCGAGCTCGGCTACACCTACGCACAATGCAAAGTGGACCGACTCGAGGCTGAGCTCGCGGCGACGCACACCAACTGACGACGAACACACACCTTTTGATACGAATTACAACGAACGCCCTCCTCACTTCTTCTGCTCGTGCGCGTGCGTCCCCGGGTGCGGCCACACCGGGGTCCCTTTCCTCGCGCTCGAAAAGTTATCCCCGTACGACTTCGGACGCGTGTGAATCTTCCCCGCCCCCGGTATCGTGCTCGCCCCGCGCGCGTCGAACTTCTGCGGCTCCATCACCTCGTACTCCCACCCGTGCTTCTCCGCGAACTTAATCGCGGCTTCTTTGGAGTTGAACACGCACGTGCTGTTCATCTGATGCGCGAGCGCGTCCCCCGTGGAGGTCCAACCCATGAGCGGGTTCTCCCACTTTTGCTGCTCGCCCGGGTGGATCTTCCACGTCCCGAGCTTGGCTTTGCCTTGCTGGCACGCGTCGCGCGCCGGGGAGTAGATCGTGACCTGTGTGTCGCGCGGTGGGACGGAGCGGAATACTGGACGTCAGCGCGCGCGATGCCGGCGGGCGGAGGGGCGCGCGGAGAGACGAGACGAGATTTCCTCGCGCGATGGATGCGCCGCGGTGTGACCGTAGCGTAGGGTTTGTTTTCTTCGCTTCGCTTCGTCGGAGGGGCGCGCGCGTCGTCGCGTCGCACCTTGCGATCGTACGTCTCCATCGGCGCGCCGACGACCTGGTTGACCTTCGTGGTCATGAGCCGGGCGGCGACGCCCTCGCCGGCGGGGGCGAGCGCGCGCGCGCGGCGCGCGAGCTGGCGAAGCATCGTGGCGCGATCTGGCGCGCGACCCCTCAAGTGACGCCCGCGCGCGCGATTCGCGCGCCTAAAAACGTGCAAACGCCAGGCAAACGCGCCGCGCGCGCTTCGATCGCGATGTCAACCTAACCGACGACGACGACCGGACGCCCTCACAACGCGAGCGCGACGACGAACGATGGCGTCCGCGCTCGCGCCGTCCGCGGCGCCGTCATCGCGCGCGCGCCCGCTCTCGCGCGCGTCGGCATCGCGGCGCGCGGCGTCCGCGCCCGCCGCGCCCGCCGCGGGCGCCGCTCGACGATCGCGCCCTCTCGACGAAGATAATAAAAAAGCGCGCGCGCATCCCCGCAACCCTCGCTCGGCGCGGCATCGCGCGCGCGCGGTGCGCGAAGCCTCGGACGACACCGTCCCCGCGGCGCGATGGTACGACGCCCCCGCGCCGTCCAACTTCATCTCCGTCCGCTCCGAGGAAGAGCTGCGCGACGTCATGCGCGCGGCGTACGGCAACGCGCGCGCGAGCACGCTCCTCGTCGTGGAGTTTTACGCCAAGTGGTGCGCGTCGTGCCGCAGGCTCTACCCGCGCCTCACGAAGCTCGCGGCGCAGGAGCAGGACGTCCTCTTCGTCAAGATCGAGTTCGACGAGTGCAAGGAGCTGTGCCGCAAGCTCGGCGTCGTGAAGCTGCCGTACTTTCACGTCTACAACGGCAGCGGATCGCGCCTCGCGGACTTCGCGTCGTCGCTGGAGCCGACCAAGTTTAAGCGCCTCACGGACGCCATCGAGGAGAACCGCGCGACGCGGTGCGCGCTGCCGCACAACGTCGTGGACCCGGACGACGCCGCGCACGACGTCGAGTACCTCCGGTCGCTCGTGAAGCTGCATCACGTGACGTTCGCGTGGAGGGGCGGCGGCCGCGACGTGATGATCGCGGGCGACGTCGCGGGAGGATGGACGCACACGCTGAGTCTGACGCGACGATCGAAGTCGGACGTCTTCGGCGACCTATACGACGGCGGCTCGGCGGACGGATCGATCGAGGACGACGACGACGAGTTCGTGCACGCGGTGACGTGCCTCTTACCCACCGGGACGTTTCGGTTCAAGTTCATCGTCGACGGGGAATGGACGTGCGAGCCGAACTACCCCATCGTCGCGGACGCGCAGGAGAACGTGAACAACGAGATCTTCGTCGGCCCGGCGTCGTGGCCGTTCGAGTGGGTCGCGGTCCCGACGAAGGCGCCGAGCGGGCCGCCCGCGCCGTTGCGGCCGACGCCCATCGCGCTGCTCGACATGCACGAGCCGAGCGCGAGGAACGCGGCGAACGCGGGCGTGGAGGTGAGCACGAAGAAGTTTCAACGACGGAAACTGCCGGGGGGGGACGACGACGCGGTGAAGGCGTTGTACGGGCAGAGCGCTAAGAGGAGCGATAACGTGAAGGACGGGTGGAAGCCGGAGGATTATCCAAAGTACGCGCACCACGACGACGCGCCGCCGCAGCCGCCAAAGTCGCCGCCGGAAGAGAAGAAAGAGGAGAAGATAGAGGAGGAGGATACGAGCTTCCCGAGGAAGGTTAAAGTGAGCTCGGACGACTTCATGACGAAGAGGGAGCACGACGCGAAAGTCGCGGAGGACATCTTGAATTCCGGGACCGCCGGGCCGTCCGAGACGGCGGCGGCGTTCGCGCGTTTAAAATTCACGCGCGATGAAAAAGCCGCGCAAGAGAAGACGCTCGCGAAGGGCGGCGAGCGCGCCGTGCGCCCGTCGGACGGGGAGCTGAAGGAGGCGAGATCGCTCAAGAGCGTCGAGGAGCGGCTCGCGAGGATCGAGCGCTTGTTGGAAGAGCGCGGGGAGATGGGGTTAAACGAGGGGTAATCAGTCGCGCGCGGAGTCGCGACCGACGACCCCCGACGGGAAAATTACAGTATTTTTAATTCGTTTCGTTTCGTTTCGTCTCCGTTTCGTTTCGTTCGTTCGCTCGCTCGCGCCGCCCACGCCTCGTCTACCGCCGGTCGATCGCGCGCATGACGTCCTTTCTGGTGATGACCCCGACGACGACGTTCTCGTCGTCCGTCACGATCAGATGCCGCAAACCCAGCGCGCAGAACAGCCCGTGGACGCGCGTCGCGGGGAAGTCCTCCTTCACCGCCAGCGGCGACCGTCGCATGTACGCGGCGACGTCCAACAACGCGCCGTCGTCCAATACGACGCCGCCGCGCGTCGTATCTTCCGCCACGTCATCCCGCGCCAACGCCGGAAGCGACTCGAAGTGTAAGTCCCCGCCGCCGCCGCCGCCGCCGCCGCGGGGGGGGCTCCCGACGGGGCCCACGGCGATCTCGGACCCGAACCCGCCGCTGTCGCGCGGCGCGCGCGGCCGCCGCAGCGCCGCCGCCGCGTCGTCGTCGTCGCCGTCGTCGTCATCGTCGTGCGCGTTCCCGCCCTCCAAACCGCTGCTCTCGATCGAGTCGAACAAGAACCGATCCCGCGCGGGCGACGACGACGACGCGAGAACGCCCGGCCTCGACGGACTCCCGCGCTCCGCGAAGGACCCGCGGCGTCGGTGCGCGCGGAGGCTCTCGGACGTCACCGCGGAGTGCGTCGTGCCGCCCCTCGCGGTGACGTCGTCGTCGCGTGAATTATTCGAATTCGATCCAGAAACGACGCCGCGGACGCGGTCCGCGATGCGAATCGGCCGCGGGAGCTCGTCCTCGCGAAGGTGCGCCACGCGCATGTACGCGTCCAGAACCCGCCGCGCGTCCGCGCTCGCCCCCGGCGCCGCGTGCGCGGGCGGCGCGTGAAGCAGCACCGCGAGCTGCGACCGGAGGATCAGGCCGACGACCCGGCCGTCGTCTTCCACGACGGGGAAGCCGTTGTGCGTCGTATCGCGCAGCAGCTCGCGAGCGACGCGCGCCGTCGTGCGCGTCGCGTGGACGCGCCGCAACCGCGACGACGGTCCTCCCGCCGTGAGGTCTCTCGCCGCGAGCGCGTTCAGCGCCCTCGGAGGCTCGCCGCTGAGGAACGCGACGCGGTCGGTCCTCCGATTTAGATCCGCGTGATAGACGCCGTGGCGGCCGAAGAATCCGCTAACGGCGTTGGACACGACGACGGCGACGATGATGCAAAAGATGAACGAGATGCCGCCGGTGCCCTCGACCATGATCACGACGAGGGATATGCTGGATCGAAACACGCCGCCCAAAGTCGCGGTGGCGCCGATGAGCGCGTACAGACCGGGCTGAACGTCCCACGACGCCGGGAGCGCCGCGCGGAAGAGTAACCCGCAGGCGCCGCCGCCGCTCGCGCCGAGAAAGATGGAGGGCATGAAGACGCCGCCGGGGACGGCGGTGCCGAACGCGGCGACCATCATGAGCAGATACGTCGCGAACGTCGCGCCCAACCCTCGCGGGGTGAACCCGTAGACCGGACTCCTCGAGGACTCCTCCTCCTCTCGACCAGGCCCCCCTCCCATCGAGAGCATCCATCCGATCGCGTCGTTCGGCGAGGAGAACATCGCGGTCGCGACGTCGTTGACCTGGCCGTCGTCGCACGCGAACCGCACGCCGAAGCCGCCGTCGCGCCACCCGTCCGGCGCCGCGACGCACGCGCCGAAAAACTTCGACGCCGCGAATCGCGCCGACACCGTCGCGATCGTCGCGAGGACGCACTCCAGCAGCCGCAGCCCTTTGCTTCCGCCGTCGTCGCGCGGCCGCACGCGCGTCAGGACGCCCTGGAGCGAGTTGAACGCGACGCCCGCGGCGCCCGTTAAAGCGGCGGTGACGACGAACAGCGGCAGCTGCCTGGAGTTGAAAGGCGTCAGAAGCGGAGTTGAAAGGCGCCGAGGTGTGTCGGGATTGAAAGCGAGGCGTGGGCGGAGAGAGACGACCGCCGGGAGATAAAGTCCTTAAGGATCGGCGTTCACCACGCCAACGCGGTCGTATGGGAACCAGTGTGCGACAGAACGCACCTCAGGTAGTCCGTCGCCACCACCGGTCGCACCCCCTCCATGAACAACGTGCCCGCCTCGCCGTGCTCGAGGAGCAGCGCGAGCACGAACGTCGCGCCGGAGACGCAGATGAACGACCGCCACATCACCTTCCGCGACCAGAACGACGACGCCTCCTCGAGGGAGAAGAGGACGCCGCCGATGGGCGCGCCGAACGCGGCGGCGAGGCCGGCGGCGGCGCCCGCGGAAACGAACTCCCGCCGCGTCGCGTGCGACGCGAGGTCCAGGAGGAGTCTCGAGTAGTGCGTCCGTCGCGCGACGACGATTGGGGAAGACGAACCGTCGGCCGTCGCGCCGCCGTTTGGCGCGTCCGCGGCGGCGTCGAGGGAGACGCCGCTGCCCCACACCGTCCGCCGCCGCGGCCGCGGCCGACCGCTCCCGCTCCGTCCGCCGCCGCCGCCGCCGCGTCGTCGCGCGTCCCCCGCCGAAGCGCTTCTTCGACGGTTGAACGCCTCCGCGTCGTCGAGCCGCGCGTACAAGTCCGTCGTCGCGTCGCCGTCGTCGCAATCGCCGTCGCCGCCGTCGCCGTCGCCGTCGCCGTCGCCGTCGCCGTCGCCGTCGCGTCGCCGCCGACGTCTCTCCTTCCTCCCCGCCGCGACGCCCCCTCCCCCTCTCCCCCCGCGGTCGCGGTCGCCGCCGTCTTTCCCTCCTCCCCCGCGCCCCCTATCCCTCTCTGATCTCTTCTCCCTCCCTCGGACCTCGCCCAAAAACAAGTACGGCAGCGCGGTCGTCACCACGGACGCGACCGCGGCGCCGATGTGCACCATCGGCCCCTCCGGCCCCACCGCGAGCCCGCTTCCGCACGCGCACGTCACGCCCACCACCTTGGCGACGAGCGCGCGCCATCCTAACGCCCTCGGGATGTGCGTTCCGTTTAACGTCGCCATCACGAGCGTTACGCCGCCACCCGCGGCTTGCGGCGCCCAGAACAGCACGAGCGACGACGCGACGACGACGAGGAGGAGGCACGACGCGGCGTATGCGTAGACGGGCGCGGGCGAGGACGCGTCTTCTGCGAAATGCCGACGCACGAGCCACCCTTTGAAGTCGTACGCGTAGTCCACGGAGACGTCGATGACGAACGCGATGAGGCCGACGGCGACGCCGACGACGAGCGCGATCGCGTACTTCGCCGCGGTGAGGCCGGTGTAGCCCCATATCCTGCGTCGCTCCGTCGTCGAAGTACGCGCGTTCCGAGGCGTCGGCGACGTCGTCGTTCGCCCGACGCGGTCGTGGTCGTCCAGGTAGTCCGACTCGAGCGTCACGTCGTTGCGCATCGGCTCGTAATCGAACGTCTCGTGCCCAGCGTTCGCGCTCGCGGGGAGGTACGGCGGCGGCCATCGGTACGCGTCGTCGTCGTCCTCCTCCTCCTTCGCGTCGCGCGTCGGGGACGCGACGTCGACGTCGGCGTCGTCGTCGTCGCCGTCGATCTCGATTCTAATTCTCGCCTCGCCAGCCTCGTCTGCCCCGCGGTCCGCGTCCGCGCCGAGCAGCGGCGCGTTCAGCCGGTCGCGATCGTCCGGGAGAGGCGTCATCGATCGCGGCGACGGCGCGGGGTGCGACGGTCTCGTCACACCCCTCCGACGGCGGCGCCTCGCGCGCGCGAGGTGAAGTGAATGGACCTTCCGAAGAGGACGGGACCGGCGAATATGCTTTTCCGCTGCTTTTCCGAGGCTGTAGTACGCGCGCGCGTACTTTCGTATGGCAACGAGTCAGGATTCGTTCTCGGCCTCCGGTAAATCTCCTCGGTGCCACCTCGACGCCCGATTCTTCGTCCGCGATAAGCAACGTCCACGACGCGCGGCATTGACGCCGCGCGTCCGCACGACCGAAGCACCCCGCGCGCTTCGACCGGCGTCCGACGCGAGCGTTCGCACACACGGCGCGGCGCGGGGAGCGCGCGCGTTCGCGAGGCGCGAGAGGGAAGGGCAGCGCGCGCGCCGTCCGTCGCCCGCGTAGTCGCCCGGTCGGACAGGACAGTCTTCCACCGCCCGCGTCAACCTACGGCTACGCGAGGCGCGGGCGCGTCGCCGGTCCGCGGCGCGATCTCTCGCGCCGCGCCGCGTCCGAGGACGGCCGCTCGCGGGGTTTCGCGCGTCGGGACATCCCGGATGGCGTCCGCGTCGATGGCGGCGAGCGCGCGCGCGGCGACGACGCCGCCCGCGGCGAGATCTCGCGCGGGAGGAGGACGCGGCGCCCCGACGTCGTCGACGTCGACGTCCGCCTCCGCCTCCGCCTCCGCCTCCGCGCGCCTCGCCGCGCGCGCGACGATCGCGAGACGCCGCGCGTCCGTCGGCGACGACAGAAACAGAAACAGAAACAGAGACGCCGTCCTCGTCCGCGCGTCGTGGGACGCCGAGGACGGCGGCGGCGGCGGCGGCGGCGGCGGAGGATGGAACGGCGCCGCGGGCGCGGGCACCGCCGCGCGCGACGACCCGGACGTCCGGCTGAAACATTTCTTCCCCCCGGTGGGCGTCGCCGACGACCACACGATCGCGAACCCTCTGCTCCGCTCGCAGCGCCTCTCCACGGGCTGGTTCGGCTGCGTCTTTGAGCTCGAGGGCGTCCTCGTGAACTCGCGCGAGGCGGAGCACAGGGAGGCGTGGACGAAGCTCGCGAAGGAGCGCGGCGAGCGGCCGCCGGCGGAGCTGGTGCTCAAGTACTGCGATCTCATGAAGCCCGAGGCGTTCATCGAGCGGCAGCTGCGGTGGACGCGCGATCCAATGGAGGTGCGGAGGATACGCCAGAGGAAGGGGGAGATCTACGACGAGATCTTGGAGGAGCAGAAGAGCTTGGGAGGGAGGGGGGGTGGCGGCGGCGACGGGATCGGAGGCGGCGGCGGCCTCGACGAGTTCGCGCTCAGGGACGGCGTGCTGCCGTTTTTAAATCTTCTCGCGGATGCCGGCGTCCCGATGGCTGCCATCTCGAACGCGTACGGGTACCACGACCTGTGCGGCGTCCTGTCCAAGATTGGCATCCTGGGGTATTTCGAGGACGCGAACGACGGGCAAGGGCCGCACGTCGTCGCCGCGGACGACGTCAGGGACTGGCTCCCGGATCCAGAGCCGCTCGAGCGAGCGTGCGATCTCATGCAGAGAACGCCCAAGCGGACGATCGTGTTCGGGAACAACACGACCGTCACGGAGGCGTGCTACGAGAAAGGGTCGAAGGCGGTGCTGCTCCTCGGGAGGCAGCCGCGGTACGAGATGCAGAACGCGGACAGCGTCGTGGAGAAGCTCACGGATCTCACCATCGCGAATTTGAAAAATCTCTTCGCGGATGAGACGTCGGAAGCCGCGGAGCCGGAGAGGCAGGTGGAGATCATGCCATCGAAAGGGTCGTCGGTGTCGACGGCGGTGTCGTCTCCGGACGCGTGGACGCAGACGCAGACGGACGACGCGGGGGGGAAAGAACCGCCGGATTACTTCAAGCGACGGAGACGACGGGATATTTGATGACCCGGGATCGATCCCTCGAGCGTCGAGTCCCTCTCGCGACGCCGCGTGTACCATCAGACCCGCTTCTCGTCGCCTTTTGTCTTTGCCACGCGCGTTGTAATATCACAAATTCTATTGTACGCACACGCTGCCTCATCTTTCTCTCTATCGCGTCGCGTCGCCGCGTCGCGTCGCCGCGTCGCTCGCTCTCACCACCCCTCGAAGTACCGCGCGCCCCACCGTCGTCGCGCGTCCGCGACGACCGCCGCGTCCGCGCCGCGTCGCGCGGCTTCGATCTCCGCCGCCCCTCTCGGGCGCACGTCGGAGATGTATTCGCCGTACTTCGTGAGCACCGTCCGCGCGCGTGACCGAACAATTTCGTGCGTTATGTAGTACACGTACATTAACCCCGCGATCGCGACGACGCGCAAGATCGGGGACCCGTGCGACGCGAACATCGCGGCGAGCGGGAACGCGAGTCTCTCGAGCTCGCTTCGGAAATTCCTCCTCAATCTTCCGACGACGTCGAACGCGGCGCCGCCGACGCCGACGAGGACGACGCCGGTCACGAGCGCGTCGAGCGCGTCCGCGATCCACGCGCGGCGCAGAAACCAACGAGGAATCGTGAACGCGTCCAGGAACGCCCCGCCCGGGTTCCACCACGGCGGCGTCCACATCGCGAGTCGGTAAAAGAGAAACTCGAGATGCGCCGGCGACGTCCTCTCCAGCGCGCGTCGCGTCGACGCCGCCGCGGCGCGCTCTTCGACCCACCCCGCGGGGAAGCCGCCGCCGTTCGCGGCGTACCACGGCCGCCACGCGTGCGTCGGTCGCGGCGACCCTAATCGCTCCAGGGTCGCGACGACGCCGCTCGTTCTCGTTCCCGTTCCCGTTCGCTTCAACGCCGCCGCCGCCGCGGCGAACGCGGGCGCGACCACTCGCGCGGACGCGATCCTGGCGATGACCCCGGAGACGACGACCGCGAGCGCGATGCACGCGACGCTCGCGACCGTCGCGAGCCGAGGGTCCGCGAACCTCGTCGCCCAGCGCGCGCGCTTCAGGACGTAAACGTATCGGCACGCATCGCATCGCGCGGACGACGACGCGTTCGAGCTCATCGCGCGCCATGCGTTGAGGCACTCGACGTGGACGTGCGACATCGAGCCGCGGCACAGGCACGGGGAGAACAGGCGCCCGCGCGTCGCGTCCTCCGCGCCCGCGAAGCAGATGCGGCACTGCGGGGGTTCCTCTCTCTCCCGCGAGGACGCCGCGTCCCCGGATCTCGTTTCGTCGTCGTGCTCGCCGCTCGCCGCGCGCGTTCGCCTTCGGACGCCGTCGTCGTCGCCGTCGCCGTCGTCGTAGCCCCTCTCCCGCCTCTGCCGGCGGTTAAACGCCTCCACGCGCGCGCGCTGCTGCGCCGCGCGCACGGCCGCGGCCTCGTCCGCGACGAACCCCGCCATGTCCCGCGCGCGCGCCTCGCACTGAACTGAAGCCATCGAACGCGTCCACGGTACGAAAATAAATTCGTTCGACTCGTCGCGTCGGCGCGTCCGAGGACGAGGCGCGCACTCGCCCTCGCGCCGCCCACCATGGCGGCGGCGACGCGCCTGAAAGACGCGCAGCGCCTCGGCGACGTCCGCAAGATCACTTCCGGGACGTCCCCCGGCGCTCCGCTCGTCCTAGAGGTGCGGTGTCCGAACGGACCGTCCGGAGGCGTGGACGTGTATCACGCGCGCGCGCTCGACGCGGGAGAGACGACAGCCTCGTCGAGCGACGACGCCGCGAAGACACTCGACGGACCCGGCGGAGGAAGACGCGCGGGGGCGACCTCATCGCGCGGCGGCGGTCTCGGCGGCGAGCTCGCGGACCTCCTCGACCTCGACGCGCTCGCGGGGATGGTCACCGTGCGGTGCGTCCTCCCCGCGGGCTTCGAGCCCATCCCGAACGATCTGAAGCTGGACGAGGGCGTCACCGTGGGCGCGCTGAAGCTCAAGGTGAGGGACCTGCTGCGATGGAGCGGCGTCGGCGAGGCGGAGAAGGGGGGCGGCGCGGCGGCGTCGGCGTCGGAGGCGAAGCCTTCGACCTCGACGTCGTCGTCGTCCACGGTCCTCGGCGCCGCTCGAAAAGCGACGCAGACGACGCCAGCTGGCGCCGCGGCGCCCGCGCCCGCGCCCGCGCCCGGGCGAGGCGACGCGGAGTACGACTACCGCGAGCGCGGTCGAGGCGGCGGCGGCGACGGCGGCGGCGGCGGGCGATCCTCCTCTCTCTTCGGCGACCTGACCGAGCTCGCGGACGAGATGAGCGGCGGCCTCGCCGGCGACATCGCGCGCGGCGTCGCCGGGCTGAGCGAGGCGATGACGTCCGGGGTGGACTTTCAGGCGGAACTCGAGAGAGCCGCCGCGGAGGAGGAGCGGGAGCTCGAGCTCGAGCGGGAGCGGGAGCGGGAGACGATGACGCGCGAGAGGGAGGAGGAAGGGGGCGGAGGGGGCATCGCGCGGCGCGGGGGGGTCGTCGACGCGGCGGCGGCGGCGGAGACGCGTCGGAACGACGACGCGGCGGGAGATAAAGTCCTTAAGGATCGGCGTTCA